ACAGGGCTGTCTGTAACCGAGGCGCCCTAGGGATATTTTACATGCCCACCTTGCTTCAGACCTCCTAAATGTAGACGCTGTATATACAGTGTTTCCCACAGTGAACAAAGGTCCTTTAAGAATTTTTTAAACTTACTATTTAGGCCCCTTTATGAGTGGTGCCATAAGCAGCCTGTAAATACTCTTGCCCACGGACTGGACTCCTGGCCCTGCTGCCGGTGGCTGGGTCTCCTGCAGGGCGAGTTTGTTCCAGCCGCTGCCGAGTCCTTGCTCAACTCCCAACAACGCAGCAAAGCCCCATTTAAGCACAAATGTTGTGTCATGAAAATAGAGCATTCCCGTGTGAACGACTGTAGGTCAGTGCTGCTCGTTCCCGACAGTTGGTCAAGGAGCCTCCTGGCTGCCCAGGGGACTCTGAAGGTTGCATATCTGAGGTAAGAAAACCACCCACAAGAGGAACCGTTTGGCAGACATCACGGGAGGGCCCAGAACTGCAGCACTGGGGGGGATTCACCAGTGTGGACCCCAAAGGGGGATCGTACCTGGCCTAAAGCATTTCTGGGGCAAGACACTAAGGTAGACACAGGATCTCAACATCACTCTGAGGGAATCAACAATTGAATGGTATCAGTGGTCAAATAATCAGAATAACGAATAAAAGCATGACTGGCTAATGAATAATTTACATAAGAACATCAGCCAAATGTGCAAAAATACTTAAATGCTTATAAAAATTAATAAGCAGCTAGCAGAATTTTTAAAAGTGCCTGATTCCTGCCTCTTCAGCCCTTGGTTTTTAGAAATTAATTTCTTACATTTTTTCTATGCTATTTTTTCATTTCTGTATTTTTTTTTCCTATGAATAATGGTTGAAGATGGTTGAAGTATTTTTCCTTCTGGTATTTTTTCTTTGATGTGAGCCAAATAGGCTGCTAGCTATAGCATCTTAAAACAGCAAGTCAAAAGTGTCAATATACAACTTTTTTTTTTTTCTTCCCTTTAGTGCCCACCTGTTTTGTTTGGCACTGGCTCCAAAATCCTAGTGTAATGTCTGGATTTGGTTCCTCAAAATATTGCAAACCTTTTAACTGAAAAGGGTTAAGAAATATATAGCAGTATCTAGTATCTAGAACAAATTTGAGGGAACTTTCCTCTCCTTCAAGACAGTGATTAGCCTTACCCTATTCCTCCCTGAGCTTGCATGCCATGCTGTTCAGCAATCAGGCTTGGAGCAGAAGGGCTAAAAATCTCTCACCAGGCTATTCTCACAGTTACTGCCTTTCCACTGAAATAATCTGTAATTTAATAGATAATAATGTTAACATTTTACAAGGACATTAGAGGCCCTGCAGACAGCACTCCATCATGAGCAGCAGGCGAGTCCACACTTTCTTTAGGACCAAATGTTCCCTTGCTCCCGCCCATTTGAAAATACGGAGCAGGAGGTTTTTGCCCAGAGGGCTTCTGCACAATTAGTCCTATTTAGGAACACATCTGCCCCACTCCTCTTGAAAAACAATTCAAACCACTGCCATAGGGTACTTCCAACTCTAAATAAGTGGGTATGAGAATTAAGATAATCATTAATCTTTACTATTACTAAAATAAAGATTTTAAACTAGTATGGGTGAGTTTACATCTGGATGTGGAAACATCTTTGGGCCTTCACCACAGGCTGCTCCAGCTATGCCTGGGTATGCAATCATAGCAATATTATTACATCATTAATAGCGATGACCTCTATCTTATAGAAAAGGGAAGACTCATTAATAGTGATGCTCTCTATCTTATAGAAAAGAGAAGACTTTTGGTACAGTAAAGCAAAATAATAACTAATTAGTGCTGCTTACATAGCTGCTGTTCACCCTTAAGGATGATACCACACTTGATGATACCACAAGCTCTACCAGAAGAATGCTGCAACTTCTGGGCCAAAATGTGTCTCCAAAAATATCTGTCAATTTAAGAAGGAAAAAAGAGGAAAAAACTCATTTCAAGGGGAAAAAAAAAAGGTATTCTGAATATTCTGAATTATAAACAGACAGAAACTGATTGTTTGAATTAAAAGTAGCTTACTGTTTGGGACCACTTTCACCGAGCAAGGTAATGGTCACATGCAAAATATTCATTCTGAAATGCAAAATCAATAGTTTTTAATGTATCATTAGCTAATCTCACTGACGTCAGATCTTTTATGAAATATCAAAACACCCAAGGTTTATACTGTATTTCAAGAGACAGATACCAGATGTTTCACACCAGTATTGCCATATTTTTAATGTCTCTGTTACACTTGGATAGACTCAGATAGATATTTTTCCCCAAGCCAAGTGCGACTGAGACAAAGAGCGAAAAAAAGTCCTTTCTCCTGATAAATCTGAGCCCCTTGGGCTTTACTTACAGTTATCGATGATGCCTGCTTTATTCTTGGATTATAACACATAGAACAGAACCATATGCTTGACCTAAGCACTTGTTTACATATTAAATCATGAACTTCTTAGCAGAACCAGTTAAATTACTTCAGTGCGGGCATTCTCATTCTCAGTTAAAGTGGACATCATTCACTTCCACAGCAAACTATGACAGAACAAAATGTTTGAAACATGCAAATTCACTTTGCTAGCAATCCCCAAATAGACAAGCCTCACATGTGTAGGACCCAATTTGCTTTTGGTTTCTAGTTTGGCCATGCTGGTGACCAGAAAATTCAATTGCATCTTGCTGGCAAGTATGTCTCAAAAGGAATTCAGCAAGATGACTGCCGTTGTTTTTTGTATTTTGCTTTTTCATCTCCTCGAGCCATTGTGTGTGGTGCATTTTTTTCTGGTGTAATAACTGAGCTCTCTCTACAGCCAGTTTGTTACCTCCTATTAAATCTAATTCCAGCCTCTCTAGCTTTGCGGAATAACAAGACCCAAATAATCTTCCAGATGCTTTCCTTGTTTTTCCGGCAACCCTCAAGCATATCTCAGTCTTCTCTCCTTCACATACACATCAGTTCCCTCCTGATCCTTCAGAAGGACAGAGGACATCATATGTTTCTTTTACCACAAGCTCTGTTGCTTCAAGGGTTAAAAAGATCACAAGTTTTGTGTTTCTGGTCACCACTAACTAAAGCTACTTTCTCGTACTCTCACCCACGGGCACTTTTTGGAACATTTTTAAACCTTTGGAGGAGAGCTTGGTTTTCTGCCATGTGCTTTATCATGAAAAGCCCAAACATCATTTCTAAGTGTGGTGTTTTTCACTCTTTCAGTACCAACATTTGCAGCAAACCCTGCTCTCTCACTACCACCTTTTGTACCGAAGTTTTCTGTACTCCAATTTCCATCTCCTGCTTGTCTTCTGCAGAGCCTAATGCTCCCTCTCCCACCACAATATCCAGTCTGTCTAATGTCCATCCTTCAGAACTTACTATAATGAGTTCACCTAATGCAACAGGAATGCACAGTAATGTCTGATATTTGCATTGGATATGGGGAAGGAATTACATTTGGGAAAAGAGAAAAATAAGAGCATCTTAATAAAGAGAGTAACTTTTAATAGGCAGTTAATTTTACTTGACACACACTAGTAGTTTCCAAACAAACTTTACACAAATATATTTATTTTCATAATGTTTCTCTGCTCTTTTCTACTGTCCTTTCAGTAGGGTTCAACATGCTACAATATATATATAGGTGTATATATATTTTAAGTGTCATGAAAATCCACAATGATTGCTTTTCTTCATGGGGAACTTGAGCAATCAGGAATCAGAATAGGTATAGATACCAACTAATGTACTTTCAAAAGTAGGCATCAAAGACTCCTCTGCTCCTGAGCAATGCAAGTGATCCAGGAATACCTGAATGGGCTATAGAAGTACAGCTGCAGCACGTAGCACTATTGTTGGTTCCCTGTCTTTCACGGAGCTTCATCAAAAGGTTCACCTTGTGCCACTGTGACAGAGGATTAGACCCACAGAAGTAGATATTAGAGCAATGGTCCAGCATAGGGACATCCTTGTATATAAACATGAACTAACAATCTGCTCAAATTCTCACCAAACAGCTAAGTGCATTTTATTAGTGAAGAGAAGGAAACTGGAGAGAGAAGATGAGAGGTTCCTCAAAAGCATAGTAGCAAAAGCTTAGATTATTTTTCCGAAATCCCTGGCTCTTGATTAGTAGCGCTTACACCACTAATTGTCTCCTTTTCATTTCCCAATAAATCAATGGAGCTTCTCAACAGCCTATCAGAGTCAGTGGATTGAGACTGAGCAGATGCTCTTGTTAATATAATTTTCAAGCATTTATATTTCTAGAAGAGCAGGATACATGCAGGTAGAAGCACTCCTTGATATTTCTGAAGTGATAGCTCTGTATAAATTAAGGTAGTCTGTAATTATTATTTGAAGCATTCTTCAGGCTTCTATAGCTATTAAATAATGAACAGGAATCCCATGCATTACTCAGAACATAGGGAAGAAAGTTTGTCTGTAAAGCTGTTTATCACATTGACCTCTACTGTGCTCCACAAATTACAGAGGAGACTACATATATATATGGCACATGTAATGCAGCAATTAGGCGAGGAACTGCTCATGGAAATAAAGTAGAAATAAAGTGGAAATAAACTGTATTGCCTGCTACATTACAAGGACCACATTCAGCAATTTACAGAACTTCAAAGAACCTCAGTGCCAGGAATATTCCTCCCCTTCACAGAAAAAGAAACGCACACTTCAGCATTTCATCCAGACATCCCCTCCTGTAAACATTTATGACAAGCAAAGTGTGTGCTACAATGAGGAGCTGCATGGAACTCGCTGAACTAGTTTTTGAGCTGATAATTTGCCCAGTACTGTTTCAAGGCCCTGTTTGCATTTTGCTACATACAATTAAAAGAACCCTATCTACCAAAAGTTCAACAAAGTATGTTAATGTATTACCTCCTACATGTATAGAAAACATTTTATATAATTACTAGCCAAACTTCATCTGATTTTAACATTATCTTCAATCTTCTTGAGGGCTTTCCTGCTTTTACTATATACGGAAATAATAAATACATAAGATACACCAGTTATTAAGCCATCAATAAAGCACATTTCATTCCACAAGGAACAGGAGGCATTTAAGGTTTGGAAGTAAAGAGCTGGTCATTAACACAAGTGTCCTGTCTGGCTAGAAGCTTCAACTGCTCCATATTTCCTGTGAAACTGCAGCTTTGCTGGGAAGTTCTTCCACATAGTGATAAAACAGGCTGCTTCACATCTGAAATGACAACAACATCTCAAGATTACTGTTCCAGGAAAGTTATTTAGGACCATAATAGTATGTTGAAATGAATAACAGGGTAAATCCCACATGAAACAGACATCAAAGAGTAAATTCACTGTCCAGGATGAGGTCCTACACTCACAGAACCAGAACCAGCTGCGAGGTTTTCAGTAACGTAAGGTAAAATTGTGTTCTGCTGCTCCGATTCAAAGGGCAAAGTAGCTTGGTAACAAGGGCAGTGTGTGTTCTTGCAGAAGTGAGAATGGGCTGAAAAGGTCAGAGATGTTTTACACAAAGGTCTTTCCACATTTATCATCAACCAGATCTCTCTTAGTGGAGGTTGATGGCACCTGTTTTAGGGGTGCTTCATCATGAAATATTGTTGCAATGTTGGTGCTTATCCTGGGTCCAACACAGCTGCTTCACCTCATGTCCTGGCCCACCCTAACACATGCTCTGATACCTCTTCCTCAGGCCACCCTTCTCATCTTCCTCCCCCCTGTACCCTGCTCAGGCAGGACCCTTCCAGCAGGACCTTTCCCAGAGTCACTGCCGCCTCCTCTTCCTTCTCCCTCCTTCAACAAAGGACGCTGCTTGCTGAGGAAGGTTCATACATGAAGATGCATAACCTGCTTCTCAAACAGCAGCCTTCACAGGGGCTCTGACAGTCCCTGCCTTTGCACACATAAGAATAGAGGTTAACACTGCCAGTTTTCCATGCTAGCAATCAAGAATTTTCAGCTATAAGGAAGCACTTCAACAAAAGTGCTTGAATTTGTATAATGTGAAATGGTCAGAAACTTTTCTGGAAACCAAAGAAGGCTGAATACTTCTGGGTATCAAGTTTCCTTTTATAGGCAACCGGCCTTAAAAAAACTATTACTTTCTTGCACATACAAAAGGCAAATGACTTCGGCAGTTACAATCAGGAAGTGAATATTTAGAAGTCAAAGCTAAAATGCTATGTCTGCAAAGGTCTGCTCCCGGGAGGCGGCAGGTTCCTAAGTTGCTGTTGACTTTATTAGCCTCAGTTTATTTGGGATTCTTGTTCATGACAGTTTGCTCAAAATGAACTTTTTAAAGTAATTGCCACTTGAGGCTTCCACCAACAGAAATCACTATTTTCTCTTATAGGCATTTTTGAGCATTTTTAGCTCCTTTCTTTAGTTACATGTCAAAATACTAAAATTAACAAATATTAACTTTATAGGAAGCAAGACAAAGAAAACGAACTCACATATTTATTACTGACGTGCGAAGAAGAATCATCACGTTGTCGAGTTTTATTCTTCCCCTGAGATGAATGCTCTCCTAAGAAAAAAAGAAAACACATTTGCGGATATAAAGAGAAGACAAATGAGTCTAGCAGGAACACATCCCAGACCACTGTACGAACTAGCCAGTCTCCCTGTCAGACATACTTAACAAGCAAAATCTACCCACACAATAGATTTTCACTTCTCTCTTGGTAGTTTATAGCTGATTCCATGTATAATTTCCTCTCAGACAGTAGGGTACTACCAAGAATTACTTCCAAGTAGGTTCTGAAAAGGTTAGAAAAAAGTTTTAAATTAATTTTAAACTACCATTGTAGCATTAAATTATAAAAAGCTACATCTATAAAATATTTTTTTATGGTATCACTGACAGTAATTCAGTTCCTCCAAAGCAGGAAAACAACCATTTAACAACTTTAGTGAGTAATTGCAGACAGCTCTCACTCCTCCTTCCCTGGAGAAGCTGAGCTACTGCCAGCAATTCCTCGCATACAAATACACCTCCAGATGAGAAGATGTTTACAGTTGTCCTGATTCCAAGCCTACGTACCAGGGACATCAGTGGGACGACTTTGCATCATAGATTCTGGCACACAGAGGAAAAGAGAATCACAGCCCCAGATGCGACAGAGCCCCTTATAAACAGACATTAGCTCAGTGGAACCCAAATACACTCAGAAAAAAAGCCTGCTGCCTCTCTGCTCACTTGTGAAAAACAGTTTAATTCCCAGTACAAGAGATGCAAGAAAGTGAAGAGATGGACTAAGTTCTAGTAGAAGTAAATTTGTATTAAATAGTTTGCATATGATGTATAGCCTGGGGTTGAGAAACTACAACACAAATGAGGAATACAACAAATTAACTGATTAGGCATTTAATTAATTAGCAGTCAAATGAAACAGTTGCATTCCACCAGGAAGAAAACAGAAAAGGGTAGTTAACAGTTTTCAGGCAGCTTTTCTTGGCAGCAATCTGGGCTCTTTAATTTAGTGCAGCCTTGCAGAGATGAGTAGAAAACTTTGTATCCAATGGAAGTCTATGAGAAATCCTGAAAGTGGTTTAACAATAAAGTGCTGAAATTGTTTTCACTTCCAAGTGTTCAATCTGGGATAAAATTATTTCAGAAACATTATAAAACTGTTGCCAACTTAGTGCTTGAGAAGTTTTGATGATGTTAAATTTCATCTGAAAAAACTCTCAGCAACTACTTCAACAATCCACTATATAAATTTAGAGAAAAAAAGGAAAGCACTTTTTTCTGGCACACACACAAAAAATTATTTCGGCAAGATTAACACATTTTGATAAGTTTTCATTAGATAAAAATCTGCTTTTTTAAAGATAAAGAACACATACCGTTGGAATACTTGTACAGTTTTCTATTAACAAACTAGATAGATTTTCAAGAACTGTCCTCATTTTTTTATTTCCCTTTCTTTCTTCTGCAGAAGAAAGCAATTGCTCCTTGCTTCTTGTTCAATATAAAGAAGTAACTGTTTCAATGGGGTCCAAAAGAGGGAAATTTTAAAAAACGAGTAGGGGGAATTTACTGAAAAATAAATTACTGTTAAGAGGAGGAAACTTCAATTGTGCCAGAAATATCAATATTTTGCCATCAGTTCCACTCTCAGCTGGTAACTCTGAGCTAGAAAGGAGGCAGACTTGTATAGCAGATCCATACTTGTTAGTACAGAGAAAATAACACTTCTAAGGACACACTGCAAAGCCAGCGCAGCTCCCTGGATAACTTCCCATTGCCTTCCCAAAGCCAAGAGGCTTTGGATCAGGTTATAAAATGCATGAGGTCACGCTTGCAACAGAAAGCAGACTGCTTGATCCATACCTGCCAACTGCTGTGGGGCTCTAATCGTGGTGGATTTGCCTTAATGTTGGACCAGGGAACCCAGCACACATGGACAGTCACGTTCCCTGCCTGGAGTTCCTGGTGCTATAGACCTGTCCCAGGGAATATTTTAAGGAACTGCCTTACATACAGAGGAACATTAACATCCCCTAGTAATATCAGTGAATGTCTGCTGGGAGTTTGAGGTAAAGGGTTAAACAGCTCTATGCCATTTTGTCACTATTGCTCGTGCTCTCCAGAGAGCAGGTGCGTGGCAAGAATTCTGGAATAAAACTAAGTTATTGCTGCTCTACGATTGCTAATGCATTTGAAGGTATTAGCATTACAGAGTCTATGGTCATTAGTGCCAACTAACTATTCCGTGATGAAGACAGACTGATTATATTCGGGAGAGGAAATGGGCACACAGGCACTCTCTGATCATGAGCAATGAGGGTAGCAAACTGCTTTAGGCACTAAACTGCAAAACACTTTGAGACTGCTCAGAATTGTCTAGATCAGTTTTAAAATCTGATCGCTCTACAGTTTGATGCTGTGCTAAATATCCAACTGTGAAGCAGAGCAAATTCAGAAGAATGTTCAGGTTAGTTGCAAGTGTGAGGACATTTCTATCAATTTCAAAATAGCCTTAACTGGTAGAAATAAATTCCAAGACTGTGAAAATATATTCCCTCCTCCCCAAACCCTCATTCCCTAGAAACAATGGATTAGAGCTTGTGTGCCATAAGGGAAACTGACAAAACAATCCTCGTGTTTAGTGTTTTGTTAGAGCAGATGATATTTTAATTGATTGAAAGAACCGTTTAGCACTGAACTGTGAGACCAGTGGAGAAAACGTGTCTCGCCTAAAATCTCTCTCTTTTCAGTATTTCCACATGTAGTGGTGCTAGTCTAGACAGATTACCTACACACTTCGAAGACTGCAGTTAAGGAAGAAAAAGTGCAGTTACATAAAAGTACATAACTTTATGCATATAGCAAAAGAGCTAGACAGCGAAATTGGAGAAAATTTGTCTTTTGGTGATTCTGGACTGTGCATTTAGTGAGGGCGAACTTAAAACTCTAGCAGTGCACACTAGGAGATGAAAAGTGTCAAGACAGGCTGGAACCACCCGCTTCTCCCCGTGTATTTGTACAGCATCTAGCACAAAGTTAGCCTAGAGTCGGACAATTCCATTTTATAGGTAGCACTGCATTTTCTGATAATGCTTGGAAAATTCACTGTGAACCTCTCTATTCTGTTGAAGTAATTGAGTAAACTGTGAAAAGCAGGAGATTAGGGACCTGGTAAAAATTATTTGGCATATTAACCAAGCGCTTCCAGCTGCGCAGCTGTAAGTGCAATGTGACCCCTTTTACCTGTGGTCCTGCCTTGGGACACCTCTCCTGTTGGACTAGGAGTTGGGAGCTCATATAGATTAGCAGAGGGCAGTGAGAAGCCAACCTCATATAAATCACGCACTTCTACAAAAACTGAAAGAAATGATGCACAGTTTGAGAAAGAGGCCTTAGGTAGAGTATCTGGAAAATGAAATTATACTGAGACTGATATGGAAATTACATTTAACATGTAGCTGCAAAACCTTCTATTAAGCTTTTCTTGTTCCTCTCATCCCCCAACACTGCGTCTATCTGTTGATTTTTCTGAAATAGGATTGTAAACACAAAGACACAGGCAAAACAAAGTCTCTAAACATTACTGTAGACAGATCTATACTACTATACTATATACAGATCTATACTATACTATCTGTACTATATACAGATCTATAGTTGAACTATCTGACTTACTGCTACAGGATGTCATAGATCTCAGAAAGAATAAAACAAATTGATGGAAGTAAAAGTCACTGAGGACAATTAAGCACAAGATTCAGGTAAACTCCAAGGCAAAGATTGCTGGAACACTCCTATATGGAGGTTGTATTCCTGTATCTCCTCCCTAGTTTTTATTCTTCCCTTGGTGTCCCTGGCCAGCTGCTGCCTGCATACCTCCCGTGCTTGCACGAGACAAGAGCCAGCCCTGCCTCAGCTCCTATAGCCAGCACTGCTCTTGTCTTTGGGGCCCTCATGAAACACTTTCCTTGGAGCCCGAGCCCAGGTTCACCCAGGGTAGCTGGCAGTTTGGCATGGGCACACTCTGATGCTCTCTGCATGCGCCCTCCTGAGAGCAGCTGTCATCCTTTAACAGGATGAGGATGGGCAGCTGTTTTAAGCTGTGTTCTTAGCTCTTGGTGCTTCGGCATACTTGTTTAAATGGCCTGGGAAGCAGATGGAGTACACAGAGGACTATGCAAAGTTACAAGTTTAAGCTGGGAAAGTAATAGTATGTTAATTAAAATGCAAGACTTTCTGATAAACTAAACTTTCGCTTGTGCAGTAATGGAGTTGGAGAGGGGCAGATGCTACACTCACAAATATATGAATGCCTGACTGCTAACGTTGCATCCCAATGCTTGCATATGTGATTAACTAAGGGGTTTATAACCAGCTGAAATAGAGACTGAATAAAAGAAATTCTGAAACTCTCAAACACTTTTTGTCTCATGTTTATAGGAGGCTGTTGAATTAATCTCACTTAAAAAAAAACCTATTTTTCCCATTTGATTCAGAAGCTGAATGCATTATTCAGATTGCGCAACAAAATATGAGAATTAGGAGATCACATTAGTACGGAAAGTCTTTGACCTGGACAAAGGCCATTTTGAGTTTAGTGGGAAAGCTGGAAGAAGAAGCACGTAAGAAATTGGCTTTGACATACAAGTAGGTTGTGCTGCATCGCAGATTACATTGTCTATAAGAAAAAATAAGTTAAACTGTTACTTCACTGTAATATCTGCTGCTGAGAAATTGTTCATAAGTGCCAGTCTGGTTTGGAACAAAGAATTACAATAAGTCTTTCACTCTGAAGAAAATATGATTGCAGAGACTTGGCTTTTATAAAAGTATAAAACTGCCTCTGCAGGTAGAGGGGATCTAAATGTTTCCTTTTTGCAATACTGCAATAAAAGGAGGAGGGGAGCATTAGAGATGCTCGAAAGCAGCGCTGAGCAGGACCAAGCCCAGTGCTGCCCGAGCAGAGGCCGCGCTGCAGTGCTGCCCTGGCACCCCAGCACCCTGTGAGCTGCCTGCAGAGAGCTTCTTACCAGCAGCAGCAAGCCAGAGGGTCTGGGCAGCCCCCTGCATCACACATAGGGCACAAGGAGATGCTCAGATGAAGGATCAGAAGGTAACAGCTGCCGAACGTCCAGCAAGAGGGTAGGGGCAATTCTCCCTGCCAGGGGGTACCTCAGAAAGCAGTGGGCTGGGAAGTCAGCTCATGCTCCACTGACACAAACTTCATTGGACCCTCAGCAGTCCCTGATTTTAAGAGGCTGTTTTAAAAACTTAGATATACACAGCTCACAGACTAAATTAGAAGTATAACCGCAGGGATAGGGGGCAGCATGTGCTATTTAATATTTTGACTGCAGTTTTGACCAAAAGTCTCAGTCACAGGTGTGTACAAGCAGATCTTTGTGGTGCAAATAAACACAAAGCAGAATCCAGTCATGGTCTGCATAGAGCTGAGCAAATTCATTCTTCAATTTTTATGGAGAAAGAAACCACAACTTCAGGCCACTATACGACAAAAGGTTTAAAAAAGCGGAGGATGAGAAATGAGAAAGAAAATGAAAGCAAAGCAGGTACTTGATCTCTTTGTTGTTTAAAAAGGGGGACCCTTTTTTAAAGGGCAGCTTCTAGGTTTTCTACCTACAGGGAAAAAAATAGGACACTGAAAGTACAGCTCATAACAGAAGAAAAGAAATAATCAGTGCTATATCCTCAGATTAGTAGGAACATCAGCTTTTACCACTTCTAAGCACATCGCGTAACAGCAGACTGCTCTCAGCTGACCTGCGTGACTTATCTTGCAAGCAAAAGGAGGAGGGAAGGGAATTTTCAGTGACAGAGGGCCTCACCTAGAGACCTGCCTTCTTTGCCTGATCCATTCCAGACAAAATGTATGGAGAGAAAGATGAAACTAATAGTGTACATTGAAAAAGGTAATGTTCCACTGTGGAACATGCCCTACATAGCTGTCCTCCCTCTGGCAGGAATAAGATAAATTTTTAGGTTAGGCATATTTTATCAATAACACTGACTGACAAATGTATCGACCTCTTGGATATCAAGTAAAAACTTGCATCATACATCCTTGGCAAATCACTTTTTTTTTTTTTTTTAATATGTATTTACCACTGAAGAGCCAAACATGCAGCTATGTGGGTTATGTCGAAACTCAAATAAGAAATACTTTTGTGAGTAGATTTTCTAGAGCTCTGTATTTATTCCTTTCAGGAAGAACCGCCTAAACTTGCCCACACAGTAAATATGGAATGGCTCCAATAAGCTCTGCATCTGCACTTGAGTGTGAAAGTTTTGAGATGATTCAGTACACTGAGTTCTTTATCCAGGTTCAGCATTCCCTGTAAGCTGCACAAAGGGGCGCTTACCTTGCACCAGGTGCTGCAGTTCCCACGCAAACATGTCTGAGAATTTCAGTGTTTAGTTTTGTCTGTTTGCTTTTTACTTTACATCAGTTCTTAACCAGTGGTGCCCTGGAGCTCACAGCCATCGGCAACTCCACCTTTCAAAGAAGAGCTTTAAAAATTGAAGAACTTAGGGCTTGGTTTTATCCACTGCTCTTGGTGATATGTCTCCATTAGCAACCCCATATTACTTCAGCCTTAATCAAATATGGTTATTTTCCCTGTGTTCTTTCATGCTAATTTTAGGTATTTTGCAATAATATTTTTGATTATATAATCAGATTTAATTTATCTATGCTTCTGAAGAAAAGGATAATCTATCTCTTTTTTTTTTCCTTTTATTTTTTAATTTATAGGCAGAATTATAGTCAGAATCTGATGTTAGCAGGCCCATCTAAGATAAATGGGGGTAAACTGCCCTCTGGAAACATGTTATCTATTCCAACAGACTACGCGCAGTAGTAGCATCTTTTTCAAATGGATAAGCATCCTAAAACACTTGAAAATACTTGAATGAGTAAGGAATATTTCTGTAAGGAAACATCTTCCTGAATGCTTTTAATTAAGAAGTAAAGCATCTTTAAAAACTTGGGGAAAAAATGTACTTCAATTTTCATGAAATTGAATTTAATTTTGAAACATATAAAGATGTAAAAATTCAAGAGAAAATGATAGCTGGTTTAAGTATGAATTGTATTAATGAGATCAGGGCAAGAATCTTATCTTCTAAGTGGTATGACTCATATCTTCCAATTATAGCATGCCTTCATCATACTTCAGTGAAAAAGAATATCAAGCATCCTCTAGATGGAAGAAATTCAAAAAAAAAAAAAAAAGGTGAACCAGTAGCTACTTAATAGGTATCAAACCTCATCTCGTGAAAAAATAGTGCGCCTGAGTCTTTTCTCACTTACGCTGATGCAAAACACAGGTAACTCCATAGCTGTCCATGAAACTTGTGTGAGGGAGGATCCATACAAGAATGCCTATGAATCCTGCTCTCTAACTTCATTCAGCTTCTAAAAGAATTACTGTGATTTTAATGTAAACATACACACAACTCCATACTCTTTGGATAGACTTATAAATCCTATCCCAAGAGATATAGACAGATAGATCCCAGACAACACAGCTCTGAAACGCAGTCTCTTGCTTGCCAACATCTAGTTTGCATTGGCTAGGGACAGAACCAGCTGCGAGGGACCACAGCTTTTTCCTTCCTAGCACTGCAGCATGCCTCTCTGCTACTAGAAAACTCTAAAAGTGTCACTGGGCAGTAGATAGTCAGAAGTCTACGAAAGATGTTTAGAGAGACTTTTTTCCTGGAGGATGTATAAGCCAAAGATGGGAGCAGGAGCAAAAGTGGAAGCCACAAGGCCAGGGGAGAGAATTACGATGAGTGAGGAAGTTTCACCATGCAAAGATCAACCTTGGCACATTTAACTTTTCTGTTTGAAAAGCTGGGAAGCAGATTAGGCAGAATTTTGGTCCGCTCCAGTCCTATTTTGTTTTACTCTGTTTCTTGCAGGACCTATTACCATCTCCATCTCTTAGCTTAGATAGATGGTATTTTAATTTATTTTGTGCACATTATCTATAAACTCTATTTCTTCCTTTTGTTTTATTATACACATACTTCGTAAGAAACTAGATCAGCTAGGCACAGGACAGAGGAATCTGTAACAAGAGCAGGATTTGGAATATAAGGGCTGGCTGGTTGCCAGGCTGGCTGAACATGGCAAACAGCAGTTCCAGCAGACATCTGTTTACATACAGCACTGTCTCCCAAACGCTTTGGCTAGTGAAGTATTATTAGTCAGACAAGCAGCATAGCCAGAACTAGCCAACAAATATCACGGTCACTGTTACTTCAAATGTGCCTAGTAGCAGGTCACTTACCAGCAACAATTTCAAAACATAATTTTCCCTTAAACTGTCACAGTTCTCACTCCCAAGCATAAGTATCACACCATGCATCTGGTCTACAGCTTCACACCTCCCAGTCTGGGAGGATTCATATTGTAGGGGAACCCTTGGCAGTGACTTCGACCTGACAGGAACTGAAGATGGTTGGAACTGACATTCCCAAACTCCTCCTCCGTGGACTCTGACATGTGTGCGCACCCAGCACTCACCAGTCTCAGCAGAAGTTGTCTTTACGGAAAGAAGCTTCACGCCCTCTTTATCGGACTGGGCCCTGTTGAAGACAAAAGACATTTCAGCATAGAGACAGCATGCAGCTCTGGTACGTCATCAGCTAAGCAAAGAGTACGATGCAGAGACAGCAACTACACCAGGGCACCCTGGATGCTGAAAGGCACCAGGTGCTTGAATTGGGTTTTGCATAGGATCATGTGTAGGACATGTGTAAGACTGGGCCAATGGGCCTTGCATCGCAAGATAAACCATTCATCTGTTTCAAAGGACTCCCTGCAAAACAGCTCAAGGCATCCGGTTTCTGCTCATGCTGGGACAGCTGGTTATCCTGCATACAGGTGTAACAGGTGTACAAAAACTGCAGGCAAATCACTTTGCCCTGCAGTTCTTTTAGAGGCAGCAGCCATTTATCAAAGAAAAACACATGCAGAATCTGCTGCATTCGCAAGTGCATTGTGATAGATCCTAAAGAAATACAAAGACAGGATTCAACCTACTGTTCAGTTCCATTCTCTTGTCTCTCTGAAAAAGAAACAAAGTCAATATCATTTTGAATGCTAGAACTCAGTTTAGTAAAACATTTAAACACAGTTATTGCTGTCTGCAGCAGAAGACTTGGTGTGATTCCGTGGTATTGCATTAAATACTTCCACACAATCAACCAGTAGGAGCGGTCACTGTCCCTTTTCTGGTTCCTCTTCTCAAAAAATCACCCTGCCAGCCACTTAAGTGAACTGACACTGTTCAAACCAACAGTTCTGAAAGCCAGGGAGCAAAGCACATGGCCTGAGAAAGTGCACAGCTCAAGATATCTGCGGTTGGAATTCACCTGCGGTTGGAATTCAGGACGGCCTTGCAGCCCCAAGATGCTAGATGCTGTCGCCCTATTGTAACCCACAGTGGTGCTGGCCACAAAGGCTTCCTCCAGATCTCCAGAGCACAAGCCCTAGACTTGCAGGGGGAGAGCAAGGAGCCCTGCAAGGCTAGGGCTTCTGCCCAGTTGAGTGCCATAACTCCCATGCCCAAGAGTCACTAAACTCCCATCCAAGGACAAGAAACAAATGTTCAGGGACTTTGAAGAGAGGAAAAGCAGTCTGAGAAAACACCTTTTTCTCTGCAGCTCATAAATGTCCTAGTTAGTGCTAGGTAGCTAAAGGTGAGTATGTAAGAGTTTTTGAGTATGTAACAACTGAACTGTGAGAGAAACTGGTAAGGGCAACAAGGGAACATGCTGCCAGGCTGGATGCGTAGGGGGCTTAATCTAAATCAAACCAGGAGGTGCTTGGAGAAGAGAGTATAGCCTGTAGAGGTTATGTACACCTATGCCTAAGGGGTAACTGAGATGTGGTTGTAGGGCTCTCAGTTTTAGAGCAGGGTTCTTAAACTGGCAGTTAAGTGTCCAGTTTTCCCCTTTGAACTAGCCCTCTGAAATTTGGGAATGGAGTCCTTGAGCAAAGACTAAGTGGCAAGGCGCCTGCTAATTTGCTGCTGACCAATTACGGTTGTCACACTCTGAATGTTTCTGAGTGGTAGCCCGTCATCCCAGCCAACAAGAAATGCATTTCTCCCCCCCAGATGAATCATATACTGAACATATTTTATTCTAATGTGCTGGTGTGGACAGATGGACGGGGTTAGGGGGTTGTATCATAAACATGGAGCTAATTCGTATTCTGCTACACTGGTCATAGGGCTTTCAGTCTGCAGAGGAAGCAACCTTGAGGAAAGACCTGAGCAAATCCTGCAAAAAAAGAATCACAGATGGCGACTCTAGTTTCCAAGGGAATTTACTAGCAGGCTGCATGCTGGCATTTGTATGTGGGGGAGAGGGGCCTGGAAAATAAATCTTCTTCAGCCAAAATCTTTACCTCTTGATTCTGAACAGTCAGTAATTTCCTAAGCAGGGCTCACTATCTTCTTTCTATTTGCTGCTGGTTTTGAATGCTATTTACCAAATTGGTTGTGACACACTATTTTCCTTGATCTACAGCTTCAGCACCATGTTGTGAGTTTACATTTCTGAGGCCCAGAGATTTCACAGTTAAATTTCTACACAGATCTCTTAATTAACGTCAATGAACAGGGAGAGAAAAAACACAGTCTGGATCCAAATATACATACCCATTTAATAGAGAATTGCATTTGCCTATGGCCCTCTCTGGCAACTCTGTAAAATACTTGGCAAATAGAATTTAATGGAGTCATATCTCCATTATCTTAAGGATTTCACAGACATCAGGTGCTGGCTTTGGCTGATCTGTCAAAATGACTATAAAAATAATGTTTGCTCAGGGATTTCATGCTCATGTGTATACTGTAACTGGAAATTAACAGACAAATATGAATACTGAGCATTCCTTAGAAAAAAGGATTGATTTTCCTATTTCCTCCATTTAGAGAAGAGCTGAAATGAATACAGGTGATTGTCTTAATATCTCCAAACTTATTTTGCATCTTTGTTTTCCACTAAGTAGACTGACTGTGACCTCCTTGTAGCCACAAAACAGGAAATGAAAAGCTGTATGGCAGTATATGTTTTGCAAAAATTGCAGCCATTTTTACTACCTCTATTCTTTACATCATTTTAAAAAAATGCAGTATTACTTTCCTACTTTAGGCAAAACACTTTTAAATCAGGAAAATTTCTTATTCTACAGCAACATCTAGAGCTACAGCAACCTTAAAAAAACCTGCGATCTTTCAATAATAAAAAGCTTAGTGATCCTCATTATTCCCCCCCACCTTGGAAAGCAAAGTACCTGGTGTTTTCTTCTGGCACATTCTGTACAAGGCCACCAGGGAGAAGACGGAAAGGGTAATTACTATCAAGGTGATCACAATCGGCAGGATAACACCTGCAAAAGAGGGTGAACATCATTTTGCCTGCTGCCTCTTGCTTGCATGTCATCCCTATACAGGCACTCACACACGCAAATGCAAGAGGAATCTCAAGCTCCTCCTTCCATGGCAACTTCCCCAAACGTTAGAGGTTTCTCAGGAGCAGGGTAACCTGCTGCTCCTGCTATTCCTCACACACCCACCCGGTGTCAGGCTTGCAGCCTTTTTGAAGGGAAGGTTTAGGCCCCTTCCTTCCCCCATCCTTAGTCATCCCCCAGCCTGGCGTTCCCAGCAGTCGCACAGCTCTTCAGAGCCAGCTTGCACCTAGGTTTCTGTAGGAGAGCGAGGTTTTAACATCTTCCCCGGTGGCACCACCGTAATCTCGATGAAAATATTCATGATTCACTCCACTGTTGATAGCCCCCAAAGGTTTTACAAAACAGTTCGTTTCAGGATCAAATTTTTGTTGCATGTGACTTTTTCGGGAGTGGGAGAAGGATGAGATTTTTTTTGGTGTGTGTGGGGGGGGTGGTTCAGATGAGAAAGACTCATCTGAAATTCAGTGACTAAAGTAATTATTTCGCTTTAACATTGTAAGTGCCAAAAGACACCAAGGAGTTACATAATTCAGCAACATTCCCCTCAGCACTCGTACCCAGGGATAGAAAATGCAAGCTCTCTTTTTCAAATGAGGACATTTCTTCCCTTTTATTATTTCCCACCATCTGCCATTTCCTGACAGGTGTTTCCCAGCCAAGAAGTAGAAAGGAAAGAATTATGTAATGAAGAGAGAAGCTTTGCTGGGGGCAGGCCCAGTTTCTCTCCATTTATTATTATTTTTTCTCAAATTTAGCAGGCTGTTACCTGCTGCCTGGCAAGGACAGCTCTGGCCCAGGCCCAGGGGCTGCAGCGGGAGCCCTGGGTGAGCTCCAGCTCCAGCCCTGGGCCTGCTGGTCCTCCAGCTCCCACCCCCCCGGGCTGCCCGCACTGGGGCACATAGGGCAGCCTGGTGGCTTCCTCCCCCAAGGATTTAGGAACCCTTAAATATAACATGACCTGTTGCCAAAGGAGGTGGGGATCGAGGCTGAAAGACGCACATTTTTCTGTAACAGTCCAGCAAGTCAGAGCATATTTAGAAATGGCATCTTAACTGGCTCTTGATGACAAATGATTTGCTAAGCCAGTGTTCTGGATTTAGAGGGAAGACCTGCAGTAACAATCTCGCTCTGGAGATGCATACTTTTAAAATCAGTATGTTAAATATATGCACCATCCAAATACTTAGTGCCTGAAAAGTTTCCAGAAGATGCCCCCTTAGCCCTGCCTCCATCTTCCCATCACAAAACAAATGATACATGCGTATAGTACATTAACTACAATATATCCATAACAATATATATCCTTAACAATATACAAACAATATTTTTTTCTGTTTCCTTGTGTGTTCTCTCACATGACTGTTCAGGTTTTTTCCAAGGGTTTCACTTGGACCTCAGTCCTTAGGAATAATTGTGCTGTTCTCCATTGAGGGTGGTGTCAACTTGTTAAGCTCTGTTTCTCTTTCAAAGGAGTTATATATAACATGAAGTTAAAATGGGTTTGTAACAAAGCCTACAGTCTGGGGAAGGCTGAGATAAAGCTGCTGGTTTTATTTCTCTGCTGCTCTGATCACTCACCTAGAGCCCAACAGACTTACTGAAAAAACCTCAAGAGATGGGCAATAAAGTAGGAAAACTCACTAGAATAATGGATGGTGTCCTCTGGCAGCTTCTTGTTTCCAGAACTGCTAAAATCTAGATTTGCAAAGAAAACATTGTCTCCAGGTTAGTATATAATAGTCAGAACTTGTCTTCCCCTCTTTCCTTATCCTTCCCGTACAATCATTATGTTCCCAAATCTGGAGCATTGTGTACTCCACTAATAAATGTGTTCTTACTAATACCTCAATAATTCGTAAAGTAGACAGAAAAGGTTTTCTACTGTGGCCTAGGAGAAAGAAGCACTTCATGTGAATTGTCTCCCCTAGATCATCTGCTTACTCACCTACAGATCACGAGCTACAAACTTTCTCAATTTTAGGAGGCTAAGATACAGTTTGACTTGAGAAAGATCCTTTGACATACAAATAAATAAGCAAGAGACTGAAAATTAGACCTGCCTCCAAAAGAAAAAAGACCCAAAAAGTTCACTATTACTGGTAAAAAATGCTAACAGTAATAATATCAAACATGGCCCTCAAACAGGAAGATCTGTTAAACAGAGATAGTAGCAGAGACTATAGCTCTTTGCATAGAAAATATAGGTGTTTGCATATAAGTAATTACAACAGTGAGCCATCCACTGAAGCCCTGTCCCAGGCACTGATCCATTGGCCAGGGGCTCTTGTAAGGATGCACAGTTCTCCAAAGACAAGAAAAGAGTTCAAATATATGAGTGGAAACTGAGTCATGAAATTAACTGAATCAATTTCCAGGGCCCTTTTGTGAGACAGGATTTAATTCCATGCTGCTGAGCTGCTGAATTACAAGCCCCCCTTTTTTTTTCTGTTTATGAAAGCCTTTGTATGGACAGCACTTGTAATTCTAGTCTATTGAACTATTGTAATAAACAATGCCAAGCCGATACTCTCTGCTTGTTGCACTAATTCTAAACTCAGATCCAGTAACCATGAACGTTTCGAAGATTGTTTTTCTCCCTTCTTCTCCTTTCACCCCTTTTTCCATTCTCACAACAAACTGCTGCACTGGAATCCATAGCAGTATGTTGTCACTGAACACAAGAGCAGTAAAGCAGAGCAGAGCTAGGCACTCTATTTTCCATAGGTGTGCTGGGTAGCAGCATATGCAAGGATTTCGCAGATAGCTAGAAGCCCCACGAGCCTGCTTAAAATGTGACACGGACTGGCTGGCAGTGCAAAGGTAAGGATTGTGAGAACTGTGTTGTAATATTTGTTCTGCGGTTGTGCAGCCATGTGAATATTGGGCAGGTTGTTTATCTTCTCTGTTTTGCTTCTTATTTAGGGACTTGTCTGGTCTAAGGTCATGAAACCTCTTGGAGATAAAAGATCATTTACTACATGTTTGTAAGGTGCCAAAACATTACAGTCTTAGCTGAGATCTTTTAATGCTGTAGTATAGAAAACATTTATTGTTTCAGGCCTTATCTCTGAAAAAGCACTATGTTTCTTTAAAGCAAAAGTCACCTCCCCTGTAGTGCCTATCTGCTGAGAGATGATAATGCAGGGATGGAGTGTGTGAACTATGAGGAGGTGACGTAAATAATTCTTAGGCATTGATAATTCCATGTGATTGCTTCCGATTTCCCAGGGGAATGTTATTGCCCCATTCCTTACCTTACATGATACACTACAGGATATATAGGGCAAGCAGGCAATTATCACAGCAATGATTTATAATACCAACAGAAAAAAAATACTGAAAAACATGAATATGCATCCTCCCTATTTGTCTAACATCTTCTCAAGAAAAAAAACAAGGATTCAAACCCAGACGTCCTTTTTTTAGCTCTATCAAATAACCAAGTTGTGAGCAACACAGAAAACAGCAATCCACATGTCAGTGTTTTAACTATATGTGAACATCAATGAGAAATATTGTAGAAATGCTAATGCATCAATAAAATAGATTAGGGAATTAAAATCTTTAATTCAGTTACCCAATTTATTAGTTAAAATTCTCTCACAAGCTAGCCCATCCCGTCTGTATTCTCTGGATTGGCAGGGTCAATCTGGAAGATATTGTCCAGCTATGGAATAATGTGGGATCAGAGTAACAATTCATTAGAGTAATAGATTCATCGTGGTAACAGGAGGGACAAATTATTAGAAGCAGCAGCAAGAACTGCAGGGACCAGCACAGAAGAGACTGCTTCCTGATAAGCCCCAAAAAAGGGAAATAGCACAATACTTGTTCACTAGCACAGGAAACTGCTGCCTTACTCTGGGGAACTCTTACTGCTGGTTCCAACTACAGCACAAGCAGTGAAAGCTACCAGCAAGAACAAGCTCCTTGGTAAATACTGCATTTTTACATTGATTTCCCATTGCATCATGTGATCTGATTTTCCTTTGTGCCCATGCCCTGTTTTCTTTTCAGTATCTGCTGGTCCAACATGGCATTCAGTAGAGTTCACAGAAAAGTTGCTCATTGTTGTAACTTGAGCATCACTCATCTGCTCCTCAGCATTATACTTCAATCCATTCTTCCCTTGGAGCCTCTTACTTCCCTCAACATTTCATATTCTCAGTCTGCCTCCCTCTCACCTCAAGCCAGACCTTTTAGTAAGTGTGCAAAGATAAAACAGGAGTCACTCTTACTTGTTGGCTCTGTTGTGGTGTTCACAGGAAGGCCTGTAATAAAACAGAAGAAACAGCTTTATTAGTAACTGCTTTAAGATTATCTGCCCTTGCTTATAGGAGGAGAAAGCAAGGACAGTCTTCAACATTATGCAAATTGACAGACTCCAGCTATGAACTCTGTAACCACACAAGAACCCTGTCCTGGCATGGCAGCTGCCTGTAGCAGTCCTGCTGACACTGTTACTGAGCTCAGAAAAAATCAAAGCAATCACAGTCTGCAGAAATAGCTCATAAATGGATCTAGAATCTGAAGTTCATCCCACACTGGATTGCTATTCCACTCAAGGGGAAAAAAATCCTGAATTAATTGATATCCTCCTAAAAAATTTCTCCTGCCAAAACCAAATAGTTACTTCGGAGTGAAGAGCTCGCATTTAACTGACAAATATTATGGGCGTTTTAATAAAAGAAACTCAAATGTCTGAGAACATCTTCAAGTGTCACAAAACCTTTTAAAAATGAGTCTTCATTAATTATCTCAGCGTTCTTGGCTAGCAGATTGCCGAGCAGCAGGAGTAAGCGGCATTGTTAATGAGGAAGAAACGGACCTTACTCTGCTCTCTGCATAATGCTTACTGGCCCACTGCTCCCAGATGCTCCATTCACTTCAGATATTTTTGGTGCAGGGCTCTGACTCCTGCTTTTGTTAGTATGCTGCTGCTCTCAGGTGTCTAGACTGTAGCGTGCTTGAAAATTAAGAAGGTTGTTAATATTTCACATTTGGAGGCTAGCCACAGACAACCATCACTCTCCCTGTGCTTTTTATTATGTTACATTAAAGCTCTTCCATGATCACTCTACATTTGAAGGAAGCTGGGCACGTAACTCATCGGTGTCTTTGAAAACAGTCACCTGCGTGAACTGGCAGCATTTATCTGTTTGTACGAGACAGACCGTCTCTTGCCAGAGGCTGCTGACTGGCTCTCTGCCTGGCTGGTGAGGTCTCTCACACTGCATTACTGAAGTTACCATGGAAAAAACCCAGCCCTTAGGCACTATGTATGCTCAGCAGTTGCTCACTGCTCTGAGGTGTAAATCAGGGTGTTTGGTCTGCCTCTCCAGGTTGGATAGCACCATAAAAGCCCTATCGCTGCATCTTTTCAGTGTTTCTTTCTGCCAAGGTGACTGTGGGGACTGTAGCTTAACTGCTCTTATACAGAGAGCTCCCAGGATGGCCACATCTTCCCACCACATCTTCTGCATCCCACTGCACCAGGCTGGGAGGCAGCAGAAATCACGGTGTGAAAATTGCCATAACTCCGAGCAGGTACCTTCTCTGCGTGGCCAGGATTACACAGCTCCACATCACACTAGGACTCCAAGGGAGCACAAATTCACTTTTACATGCCTGCTGCACTTTCAGTACTGTGAGCTCATGCTCTGTGCAAAGAGAGCTCCTAAAACAGGAGCTGTAGTATGAGTTAAACACATTATTCACTAACATGAGCCTGCTCTTTGAAAATTAGAACGGGTGCCATTGGGTTTCCTCCTCTCAATGCACAATTAAAAGCAGGAGTGACTTGAGCCACTGGGGTCTAACCATTTCTGCTAATGATATATGTGACAGAGATTTAGCTGCACTTTAATCAGAAGTATACATGAAAAGCCTGTTCACGTTGAAAAGTCAAGCACTCAAAAGTCTGCAGTGAGAACTCTTCTTGAACATACTAAATATTAGTAATACTAAGTACTCTGGAGGTACACTATATCTCATGCTGATTTCCTAAAACTCAGTGGATATTTTTAATGCAAGCATTTTTTCCTAGCAATCCATCTGCAAAAAGTAGGGGAAATTTCTGATGATTCATTAGGTAACGCTTCTAACATTTTGGGCAAAATTAATGACAAGATTCAAAAAAGAGCTTGAGTAATTTAATAACTCTACTTGTCAAAAGAGATTTGGAAGGAAGTATAGAAGGAAGCAGGACACATACCCAGCATAAAGGAAACACCAAAATATGAAATGGTTGTTTGTTACCTAAATATTGCCTTTCTTGTGGCCTGTAAGTGTGGGGTTGCATGGAAAAAGTATAATGTGATGATGTAGCAACGGTTGGTCAAGCACACTTTAAAACTCCTTGTGTGTTTGAGTATGTGTGTGTCTGCATGCACATATGTACTCATGTAGGTGGGGAGAAGACCCTGTCCAGTCTTAGAAGTAGGTCACTTGTCTAAGAAATTTCAAGTCTTTTCTCGAAAGTTTGAGGAAAGTTAAATTTTCCTAAGGAGAGTTCTCAAGATTCAAATGTAATAATTTTTCCCTTGATTTCTGTATTGTAACTAAGTGAACCATCGTGATTGAAACCAGAATAAATAAGCAAATAGAAAAATTCTACCAAGACTAAGGCTGATTTCCAATTTCTGCCCAAAGACTTATGGTTTGTCAAAATTATATGCAAGTGATGTTAGGATCTTTGAAAGGAAGTGTCAGGTGACCTTAGGACAGGCAGTATCCACAGGCACATGCAGGATTCATGCGGCTCCTGGCCAGGCTCTCACCACTTCTGTAAACCCAGAAGGCAGAGCGGATTGCTGCTAGTAAGCATGACAACACGACTGCACTCCCCTTTCCTTCGTTCAGGGACTTTAAAAGCCTCTCAACCCTTATTATTCTTAAAAATCACAAGCATCTATACACCATAGAAACATCTTACTAAAGATATCTCCTCTGAATTCTGTTAGAGCATGAAAAAAATAAGCAGGTAATGAAGAAAAACCTTTTGCCCTTCCCTCTCTGTCCTCACGGTCTCCAGTATGCAAGCAAGCTATTAGCTCACACGCTGCTCCAGAGATTGCTCAGCCCTGCCACGTAAACAAAGTGCACTTATCGGAGCAGGTCACGAGGTGCTTTTGGTTTGCATTTTCTAAATAGCCCTCCGGTGCCCTTCTTGGTGGTGGGGTCATGCACTGGTGTTCTACAGAACGCAAAAGACAGGAAGAAACGCAGCATTTTGCTGCTAACGTATTTACTATAGTTGTTCTAGCTGTCTATATGTAGCTTGCCACATCTTTTGGGGCTGGGAGTTAGAGGGGCAGATGCTCTACATAAATAATCTGGGAAGGTTTCCAGACTTATCACAAGAAGCGAGGTGTACATCACTGGCTGGGCTGAGTCCTTGTTGTGCAGTAAGGAGGACAAGGATAAAAATTTGGCAATGACTGTGGTTTGATTTGAAAATACCTGCCTGACTCGATTTGGAGCTGACTATAAGCTTGACAGATGGAGAAAGAGACCGGTAACTAACCTCTCCCCGCTCTGTTCTCAGTGGTCTGCTACCTAAACTGCCTTGGTACCCTGCAGTTTGCTGCTTCTGTTTTTGGAGGGCAGCCACATGAAACTGTGTTCACTGGCAAAACAAATGAATAAATTTGGCTGATTGCTCAGAGGGGATACCGCATCATAAATCAAAGCAAAATTAAGAACCTTAAAAAACCCCTCCTTATCCTAACTTGGCTGTTTATCTGTAACTGCAGTAACTGAAGCTCTGCTATGTTTTCCATGCCCCAAGCTCTTTGGTTCTTCCTGAGGACGCTGAAGCTAGGGCAAGCAATTTTAGTCTAATATCACTATCCAGCATTCCCGTACAGTTCATGCACAGAAAGAGTTAAACCCTCCTTGTCTTACTCATAAGAATTTTTCTTCGGGAGATGCCTCCTGTGAATCAAGTGAGCAGGATTTATAATTTCAGGAGTGCAATGAAGATATCAATAGATGCAGCGGTTGATTCATCTGACAGTTTATTATCATAGATCGTTTTGATCTTAACACCCTGCTGGGTGAACTCACTCTAATACTGCCTTATGGATTTTGTTGTTCTTGTTGTTTAGGTCACAGAGTGAAAAGATACAATAGCTGCTGTTTCTCAGACACATTTAGACCCTGAGGGATCTATTAAATCTCCATTTTTTCATTAATTAAACAAAAGGAGAAGACTAAATATTAGCAAGCCTTCCTTTGTGGAGACAGAGAATGGGTAAGAAGTATATTACACACGACAGACACAGCTGAAGTCAAGGAAGTGTTTGTGTCAAGGGCATGCCTGCAGGTTGCCCTCTGCTAAAAAGCAGCTCCTTTAGCCCTTCTGTAGCCCGGGTGGGCACTGGGCAGCCCCTCCTCTGTGGCTGGCTGGTTTGGTCTTTTTCATACAACAGTTCTGTTCTCTGATATGTCTCCAAGTTCTTTCCTAGCTCCCCCACTCATCTCAGTTGCTCTCCAGCTCTCTGTGACACTCCTCCCACACCCTGATATGACTGGCTGGAAATTTCTCCTCAAAATGTGCTCCTCTCTTTCCCTGTCGAGAAAGAAAATTTTTGTGTGTATATGCAAAATGGCCTTGAAACTAAATATATTCTTTTGGATTTAGGCTAGCCAGCTGAAATGTTTTGGTTGAGCAAATCAAACAGAAATGGTCTGTTTTGGGCCAATCTCACACTCATTTGTGTTCCCCTGGGCTCCCACACAGAAGCGATGCCTGCAGCTTCCAAGCTCTGTTATCCCTGCAGGCTGCAGTGCGAGCCCCTTTTGCATACCAGCCTCTGCTCTGCTGAACAAAAAGGTATCCATGCCCCTAGAGAAACACCTGAACGTGAAATTTTACAGAGCTGCAGAGGAAAAAAAAAATCTGATCTCAGTGAGACATGCAGCATTTCTTTTTAGTCTTAGTGCAAAACAAAACAAATGGCTCCACACTTGCAATATTTTTGAAGTTATTGGGGGCTGTCTGTGGCTTCCTCTGGTCCTGAGCAATTGCACATGTTGGGTGAAACTTGATTAGAGCGAGCCAAGTATCTCTGTCTTACAAAGGGAAAAAGGGAACACAGATGGTCTAAAGGTGCACCCATTAGGGATAAGCTACCTAATTCATTAAGGAGAGTAAAGGGATTTCTTGCATATTTAAGATGAAAGAGAAAAACCTGGAGCTAGTTCTGCGAGGAGACAGGGGAGGTATAAATGTGCAAGTCCTGGTGAGCGAGGAGGTAATTTCGAAATTGCAGTTTTATGGGAACGCGAAGCACTGGCTACGCCAAGGACCTGGACTGAGCGGCCCAGGATAGAGAGTCCCTTTCTTTCTCAGACAGGCAATTAGAGCCCTGGTTTCTTGGATAGTTCCTGAACTAATGAAAATTTATTGCTTTTAGAGCAAAGTGAGCTGAGTAAGATGATGACTTTCACAAGCAGATTCATGGAAGGATGTAAATATTTGTGAGGAAATATAAAATATAATTGTACAAATAATATAATAGGTTATTCAATACACATGATCCTATAGGTAAATATGTATTGCAAATTCATTTTAACCTAGAGAATTTGCCTGTATGAAGGAAAAGAAATTTAAATTTAAAATATTTTAACTTATTGTGTTATTGCAATGTAGTAAGGGTAAGGTTTCCAGACTCTGTGTGTGTCTGCTAAAAGACATCAAACCTAACAGGATATTCAGGTAACTTGAGCTCACGATGTACATATTATTGGGCACAGAGTTGCTGAAATAATTAAAATGATATCTACATCAGTGGCATTGGATTAAAAACGAACAAACCCCAATTTTCCTAAAATGCTTGTTAAAATCATAACAACTTTTTGGGCTCTTACAACTGTTCCAGTAGTTTACGCTCTTTTATATGCAGCCCCATCTTCCATGAGAAAAATCACAGTACTCAACTTGCCATACTCTGTTTAACCACAACAAAATATTACAGAGGACTCATTCTTGTCTTCCATGCTTAGCTCCCACACACAGCAGTCTAGACAGTTGTACAGGGTCTTATCTCTCTTGAAGGATGTTGTGTGATAATAATTGGGATACACAAACGAAAACACTGCCCTCATTGGGTTTAGCTGAGAGCGAGCACTGAGTGAGAACTCAAGAGACCTTAAGAAAACCTAAGTAATTTATTATTCTTCAAAATCTAGCAAAGCTAAGCCAGAGAAAAGCATAATAAATTATCACTCTTATGACCTGGCATCCACCTTTGCCACAAAGTTGCTTAGTGAATAAAAAAACCCAGCAAAACAATAAAGTTAGATGGGAGTTGGGAAGGATTGATATTTTTTGACCTTGCACGTGACCACGCTGTACTTTGAACAATGTCACTTAATTGGTAATGTGCATTAGCTTGCCCTCCAGATTTATTAACAGTCATAAAAATTATAGCTGTTTTCCTCTTTGCTTTGCAGCCACAGTATATATCTCAATGACCTCCTCTGGCAGTGAATGTTAAAACAATGACCACATGAAGCATGCATAAGGATTTCTATTATCTTCCCTAATTTATATCCTCCTGTCATGACACTGAGTATCCAAACTGAATGTTTTGAAGTTCACTCATCACCAAATGTACCTGCATGACTAGATGACTTGGATTAATCGTCACATTGCACAAAAATAAGGAGGGGCTATTATTCCAGGACAATATATGACAAATGGAGAAGGAATTCAAGATTATTTGCATCTTTTCAAGCATGTGGATAAGGAAGTAGAGTGTATGGTTCCAGGACTTACTTGAGGTTTCAGGAGCAAAAGCTGTTTTTTGCAGAGCAGTTGTTGGAGGCAAGGAGGGTCCCTTAGTAGATGGAGCACCCAAAGTCCCATTTGGTGTTGACTGTGTTTCATTCGCTTGGAATGTAGCTGGAAATGAGGCAATAGGGTCAGATACAATTGTAGGTTTTTTATTGTGGAAGTAATGAACGAATCTTTAAGCACAACCATTTTCACTCTTTGTTTTTACTGCAGTTGAGATTCAAACTGTAAATGTTGAATTTTAACCTTACATCGATTAAAAAAAAAAAAAAGGTGCTTCCCCAGCATGTACACATTATAAAATTAGTAACAGAAACCCTCTTGTGGCTCCCTTCTCATAAGAGCTAGTCAGTGAAAGCTCATGATAGGAGGATGGGGAAAATCAGGCTAGCAGTAATCCTTCATGCACAGAAACATTCAGACACAAATATGCCTTGCAAACTGCACAAAATAATCAGGTGTGTGGGAGAAAGGAGGAGGGAGGCAGCCAGTTTTCTTGTAGCCCCCCGAGAGCTGTTTTCCCATCGGGATCACACATTCTCCACGTCCTGTCAGTCCTGGCAGTAGCCCAGCTCTAAGCACTCCGCTTGTGTTTGGGAGCTGTGAGAACAGATTGTTCTCGGGAACATGTGCTGTACGCTGTATATTCCTCAGTAGGGGATTAGGAGGGGAGGGGAGGCACGATCTCATTTTCATTTCATTTTTTAATCCAGTTTGGGTGAAATTCTTCCTGCTACTTATGTGTAGGCACCAGATATGACTTACATCTTTACCTACAGCTTGGTGTGAAGCTTTTTATACTTATTTCAGTGGACTGCAGATCAGGCTCCATTCCTAATGTCAAAGAGGTGAAGTAGACATGTTAAGTACAAAATTCTTTGTGCAAGTTTTCATTACTCCTGAGATGAAATGTGCAGCCTCACAGGGAAAGCTCCCTTAATTCCACTATACAAATGAATAAATCCTAGCAACATAATTCTCTGCTGTCTTGTTGCTTTCAAGTGGCACTTAAGCAATATCCAGGCCTTATGCCTCAATACACAGTACAAGCTCTACTAACAATATATTTAGTAGATGGAATAGCTTCAATGCCAAAAGCCTATGGGAACAGAAGCATCCATACCCAGTGTATCCTACATGCAACTGCGGCAGCGAAAGCACAGCGCGCTTGCTGGAAACCTGCCTTTTTGCTAAATCCCCCAAGTCCTATCTATGCAAGACTTAGTTTGATCTCAAAAGCAGGAGATGGCAGAAACCCTTCCCGCGGTGGCGGCATTCGGAGTTGGAAGAGGCGGGGGGGGCCGGGCAGGCGCGCGGTGACTCACTCCTGCCGTGCCGCCACCGCGCTGCACTCGCTCCTCCTGCTCCTGCTCCCGCTCCGCCAGCTGCAGCAGAGCTCCCTGCCTGCCTGCGGGAGGCCTGGCTTTGCAGGAAGGCAGCCCAGCAGCGCGGGGTGGCTGCTGCTGCGGCTGCTGCAGAAACAGTCACATCATCGTTTAATGGGCCTCTTGTCAACAGCTCATTATGAATCAAACTGTAGAGCTCTAAAGACAGCGGAATCGCTGTCCAAATGGGGCTGATTGCTGCTCCCTGGTGCCGATGCAGCTCTTCCCACTGATATTTTGATATCATAAACGACATTGTGTTAAGCGCTGTTCTCAACACGTGTTTGTCAAAGGGATAATCAACAAGGGGCAACCTGAAGCTGCTCTGCAAAGCTGCTGCCTCAGGCTCAGGTTTTCCTTACTATTTGTGATCTGAAAGCCCCACACTTCTTTTTTCAAATCAGCTGAAATTCAACCCACATCCTCACTTGATCTTAGTACAATTTCCCACTTAACCTACATATAACCCACATACATTTTTGTCATTTCCATGGATATACTTTGTTGTATTTTGGTTTATATTCTCTGCGTTAACCCCTAGTATCCCAGGATAGGCATTTTTGTTTGTAGCTGCAACTTGCAGTGGAGTCAAACTACTTAACTTAAAATCCTTGCTTCGAGCTTTAGACCGCACAAGTGACACCACTCTACATGTGACTAAATGTGAACTAGTGGATTTCACCCCTCCTGTTAATAAATAAGTCTAATCATTGATTTCCAAGATAACTAACAGAGCATGAACAGAAAGAGGGAGAGATTATACTTCTGGCCTGCGGAAGCAAAGAATACTGAAGATAAAAAAAAAAAAAAAAAAAAGGTCCTTTGCATGATTTCACAGAGTAGGGAGGATTGGGGGCTTTTTCTGAATCTGTAATGCAAGGTGACAGCAGTCACAGAAATAGTAGCAGAGACAGGAAGCCCTGTCAAATCTCAGTTGTGTGAATGTGATCATTCACTGCTGCTCTCAGCAAGGA